CACGGTAGCGGGTATCATATTTGATATACATGGCCGAAAGTGAGAGATGTGTGTCTCTCAGAAATGAGCGACGAAGCCCTCGGTGAAATGTTGATGTTTCGCATATATGAGCGACGCGGCACGCAATGTGTTAAGCTGAGCGAATTGAGCTGTGCCTTTGAGACCCTATCAAAAGAAAATTTAATATTTTGTTTGGGCTCTCCATAGACTCGACTTTCCATTGAGAAAGTGGTAAGTTACTTTCTTCTTAAAACGTATTTTCTTGTCCCAAAAACATGCGCTCTCTTATTTTCAAGGTACGAAATTTAGTTGGTTCCCTCTGAGAAGCATTCGTCTATACCTACTCCGTTTTGTAACCCTCGTTGAGGTAAGGTTTATTCATATTTTATAGACTTATTTAGTCTTATTTTACCTACTGCGGTTACAGGGTTTTAAGGACCAGTTTTGGATCCAGTTCTTAGGTCCGGTTTCGAGACCTAGTTTAGACTCCAAGTTTACTGCCTGGTTGGTCAGTGCGTGCATCGTTCTGCCTCAGGTTTCATTGAGGTTTGTGGTTCGATTGGGCGAGAAACAGCCGGTGTCAGAACCTTGGCCTACATATACATAACCTAGAACAATAGTCTACGCAATGACGTCTACACCTCTAGGAGAATCCTGGAGTGTGCTCGATTTCAATACAGTTCAGAAGAAGAAGTATCTGGATTAATAATCTAAGAAGTACACATATAAAGGATGTAAGTTACATGTTTGTACAATTGTCTTATGGCCGTTTCCACCCACTAATTTTAGGGGAGCCCTAACGATAAGTATTCCCTAAAATGACATTTTTACATGGATAAATGTCAGTTTAAGGCATACCTATTGTTAGGGCTTCCCTAAAATAGTTGGTGGAAATGGCCATTAGCAAATTATTTACATAAATTATTAGGCAGTGACTACTGCACTGTCCAGACAGTGCCGACTGAAACCTATCTGCACTGGCCAGACAGTGTCGACTAAAATCTATCAGCACTGTCTAGACAGTGCCGACTGAAATCTATCTGTGCACTGTCCAGACAGTGCCGACTAAGAACTATCTGCACTGTCCAGATAATTTCATTATCATATCATATAAAGTTATAGTAACATTCAAAATGGCTTGCATTCCTTGCTGGGATTCAGTGTATATAGATATTTTTGTATTAAGTGCGCAAAATGCTCGGCAAAATGAATTGAAAATTGTTCGAAAATAATTTTTCGAAAGAAAACTGTTCGAAAGAAAATTGTTTGACGGAAAATTGTTCGAACGGAAAATTTTTCGAACGGAAAATTTTTCGAACGGAAAATTGTTCGACGGAAAATTCTTTGAACGGAAAATTGTTTGAACGGAAAATTGTTCGAACGGAAAATTATTCGAACGGAAAATTATTCGAACCGAAAATTGTTCGAATGGAAAATTGCTCGAACGGAAAATTATTCGAACCGAAAATTTATCGAACGAAAAATTGTTCGAACGGGAAATTATTCGAACGAAAAATTGATCGAAAGAAAATTGTTCGAACGGAAAATTGTTCCAACGGAAAATTATTCGAATCGCAAATTGTTTGAACGGAAAATTGTTCGAACGGGAAATTATTCGAACAAAAAATTGTTCAAAAGAAATTTGTTCGAAAGTAAATTGTTCCAACGGAAAATTGTTTTTTTGCCGAAAAATCAATAGTTTAACTGTGAATCGTGAATGAATCTGACCGGAGTTACCCAATTCCTTAATTCTTACTATTTGTCCCTGATTCTTAATTCTTGGTTTTTTAAATTCAATATTAATATACAAGGACTAGCTTGCATTAGGTGAACCGGTTAATTTGGGTTAGTTTGCATTTTTTTTGGGTTAGTTTGGGCTAGTTTACATATTTTTGTTTATTTTGGTCACGGTTCGTTTAATACTGGCTAAAAGCGTACTGCTTGACAATAGGAGGCGCTTGGTTTTTTAAATTTAATATTAACATACAAGGACTAGCACGCATTACGTGGATGGGTTAGTTTGCATATTTTTGGTTAGTTTCGTTACAGTTCATTTAATACTGATTAGAAGTGTACTGGTTGCCGATAATATTTTGACCTGTGCCCTTTTGTCCGGTCGCTTTTGAGCTGCGCTCTTCTGTACCAACGCCGAATTTACGGTTCCGCGGATGTTCTCTTTGAGATTCGATGAGCGAAGCAAGCAATCGGAGATTCAAAAATAATTGAAATTTCGAGCTGTTGTATTGAAAAAAGGTTTTTCACGTTTTTGGTAGATTTACGCTTCCGAGGCGTATAAGTACATTTATTAACAATTTTCCATTTGAACCATTTTCCATTCGAACAATTTTTCTTTCGAACAATTTTCCATTCGAACAATTTTCCTTTCGAACAATTTTCCGTTCGAATAATTTTCCATTCGAACAATTTTCCTTTCGAACAATTTTCCCTTTGAAAAATTTTCCTTTCGAACAATTTTCTCTTCGAACAATTTTCCTTTCGAAAAATTTTCTTTTCGAATAATTTTCCGTTCGAACAATTTTCCTTTCGAAGAATTTTCCGTTCCAACAATTATTTTCGAACTATTTTCCGGGACTCGTTTTTTTAATGGTGCCTGAGCCTCAATCTTTTGGACCGGATCAGTTGATCAAAACGCGTTATGTTCCAGTAATCAGGTTCTTTCGCATTTTAGTATTTGACACGGATAAAGTTTTTTCCTACAGCCGTGCGGAAAAATCGGAAAATGAGTTTTCCTGCACGGTGCGGTTAAACTTTTACCGCACGCATATCAGTGCGGAAAAACTTTTTCCGCACGGCTGTCAGTGCGAAAAAATGTTATTGCGCGGCTGTCAAAAAAAAAGGAAAATTCTACATTTTTACGCCTGTAGGAAAAATATTGTACCTAACACTTGCTCAAAATATTTTTCCGCACTCGGCTGCGAACAGCAGTCGCGTGCGAAAAAAATCATTTTCCGCACTTGTCAGGTAAATAGCTATTTTATTTTTATAATAATAATAATAATAATAATAATATTTATTTCAAAATTGGTATAAAAAAATAACAATTGAAATTATGTCAATAAGCCAAAAAAAAAAATACATTTAAGTATTAGCTTTGTCAATAAGTTTAAGTACTTCGAACAATAAAGCACAGTTCTATTCTATTCTATAATTTTGTAATTAAACGATTTCTTTAATAATATATCGCTTTGCTTTAATAATATATCGCTCATGCGGAAAGTGTCTTTCCCGCACTCGACTGCTTGCCCCAACTCCACTTCGCGTCGTTCGGGTCAACGGCAGTCGCGTGCGGGAAAGTTTCACTTTCCACACTTGTTAGGAAAATAACTATTTTAACGCGGTTTGTGGATTTTAATAGCCTGTTTTTTTTTCCGCATAAACCTTGCCGTAAATTTGTCATAGGACCATAGGGTTATGATATACGGGGCGATAAAATTGAATTTTGCCTAAAAATCAGTATGTGTATGTTCAAGTGTCCAGCAGTTTATATTGCGAAAGAATGCGGCTCTGGTAGTGTCAATTTTTACAGGTGAGGTCGAGGCCAAAAAATTCATTAGAGGGTGACCAGAAGCAAAAATGTCGCGTACAAAATACAAATTATATTTCCTAAGGCCGCGCACAAAGTAGTACTTTTCCGCACTCATTTCCGTGCTCAAGGTTATACTTTTCCGCACTCCGTGAAATGAACTACTTTGCGCACGCTTTTCGTATGTGACTTTTGTGTCTTCAAATTTATTTGGCCTCGACCTGACCTATGAAAATTGACACCCTCAGGTACATACCATTGAAAAAACTCATTTTGCGCACTTAATATAAAAATAACAATAATACACTGACACTGAATCCCAGCAAGGAATGCAAGCCATTTCTAATATAACTATGACTTTATATGATATGATAATGAAATTATCTGGATAGTGCAGATGATTTTTAGTCGGCACTGTCTATTATTTTTAGTCGGCACTGTCTGGACAGTGAAAATCCCGGCGTTGTGGAAAGTAAGAATTTTTGTTTCTATTTTGATTGAATAATTTTTTTTCTGTTCATTTACAAAATATTAATCCCATCTGTCGAACAATTTCCATCAATGTTATTTTTTTAAAATTTGATATGTGTCCGTTAGTGTTACGTACTTGTAACTGCTAAAATTTGAAACTAGATATGTACTAATTTTCCCAAATTTATGTGTTTGCAGACGATCTGATAATGACTCCTACAAAAAGAACTAGAGGCTGTCCCTGGGTCCGCCCTAATCTCCAAGTAAGTATTTTAGATCGTGATCTATGTATACTTAGTGTTAGGTATCTGTAACTGCCAAAATTTGAAACTAGATATGTACTAATTTTCCCAAATGTATGTGTTTGCAGACGATCTGATAATGACTCCTACAAAAATAACTAGAGGCCGTCCCTGGGTCCGTCCTAATCTCCAAGTAAGTATTTTAGATCGTGATCTATGTATACCAATAGTTAGGAATGTTTGCTGGCTGGATGAATGAATTATATCCGTGATCAAGCAATTAAAAAAAAATATTTTTGAATGAATTGATTTTTAAAATAAATCTAAATTATTCCAGGATCCAAAATATTTAGAACCATTTAAATATGGATGGACTCTTAAATTAGTATGGACGGCAACTGGTACTCGTTACCAGCAAAAGGGAGACATTTATTTCCATGGACCTAGTGGCAAGAAACTGCGATCTTTGTGTCAAGTTTCCGGTCATTTGAAAAACCAGAATCTAACTCAGGATAACTTCACCTTTTTCGTGGCGCCTTTGGGCGTGAACAATCCTTCCAAGGAAATTATCCGGCACACTATTGGTACAAGAAGCTTTACAATTGACAAGGCTAGACTGAGAAAAAATTGAGGTGCACCCACAACCTCTAGAACCAGAAGCAGACATTTATTTCATTTATAGATTATTATAGAAATTTAAAATTTGATTTGTAACCTGTTTGGAGGGAAAAAGGCAACATTTGCAATAAGAAAAATCTTGTATTTAATTTTATTTGTTGAATCTATTTTGAGAAGAATCTTCTCTTGTTTTATATACATTAATATCATATCACAAAATATTATTATTTTCTAGTAATCTCCTTGCTATGTTAATTATTGTATAAATTCTATGATCTCTTAAAAATATGTTACTTACAATAATTATATTAATATAGGTACATAGAATTTTTTGGATAAAAAGAAATAAAATGATAAAAATTCAACTATGCATTTTTGTGAGCGTTTCCACATTAACTAAAAATTAATAAAATGTATATACACAGAATAGTTTACAAGTAACCAATCGAAGAAAGCTTTACACCTCCGTTTTTAGTATCCTGATGAGAGTGACCAATTATCAAAGTGACAGTCTCATATGTAGCAGGAAACCGAGGTTTGAGTAGTTTCATTGATTACGATCGATGTATAAATTGGCATTATAGTGAAGCTTTTTTAATCCCAACACAGATTATGCCAAATATCTAAATAACCAAGTTGTTGGAAGGTAGCCTCGGTTGTCCGACAATGCAGATTAAGACTAGACATTTTATTAATGCTCTATGCTTGTACTTATTTTTATAAATAATATGAAACTTATCTCCTAATTATTCTGTACTAAAAAATAAAGAATAAGGAGCATAGAGCATTATTGAAAAATGTTTATACCTACGCAAAAGTTTATTGTTTATTTTGATATAATCCGAAAAATTCGAATATTCAATTAACCCCAAATTAGGTGTTCAGATTATGTTCTAGGTTAATGGAAACATTGGTACAACATTGTTATAAAAAAATTAAAAATTGCAAAACAAAAAAAAAAATATTAAAATTTATTTACAGCTCAGAAAAAATTTAAATCATTTTTGATCAACAAAGAAAAATGTATTATAAAAAAAGCTGGAATGATAAATTTAAAAAAATTGAATTTCAAAACTTTCAGTAAACAAATATTGTGATTGCTTAAGGGTCAAGAGTTACATCCGGCAAACCTTCTAAAATTCGATTATGTATATAACTTCACGTATTTCAAATAATAAATCTGCAAATAAAAAGTTTTTATGGAAGCACAAACCCGGTCAAGTTAAAAAGTCATAATTAACTGGCCTATCAGTAGTTTGATGATTTAAAAAAAAAATTACATCTTGGTCAGACCACTGAGTGTCAAATAAAAGTAACAGATGTGTTATTATCATTAGAGTATTTTAAACAAGAATACAAGACAAAATAATTTAGTTTGAAAGGTTTTTTAACACAGAAACTGAAAATTGATTTGGAAATACGAGTCTGATATGTACCCACTCGGAATTGTATGCTATTGTAGTTTAATGTCTTACGACTCATTATGCTTTCAAATAAATGTAATGTAATTATTTACTAGCTTCATCCTAGCAAGCAGCTTCAAATCCCTCTTGAGCTTCACGAAAGCAATGGTTTTCACAAATCAATCTGATGGTTTCTGTTAAAACAGATCTCTAAAGCGGAAAACCAATGTTGGGTATTTTTCAGGATTATCTTGTCTTGTATCTGAACAAATTCTTGTAGTAAAAAAACTTACAACTAGAAAATAAAATACTGTCATCAGTAACTGAATATTTCCTTATTGGCTATTATGGCATCTTTGTGTTGGACGAATTTCCAAATATCATTCAAATTTATTCGTATCATACTAGGCAGTGCATATGTTTCCGAGATTTTTTATCTTTTTCTTTACTAGGTATCTTAACAAATCAAAAATCGATACACGAATAATTTCGAATGGTACTCGCAAACAGTACCTCAAGTCCAAATATCACATTATTCAAGAAAGTTAGTTACTAAGGCCATGATGACTATACCACTGACGAGCGCTAACATTTGCTTCAAGGATTCCTTGGGGTCTTCTTCTTTGAGGAGATCAGGCAGAACTGTTACTAAGGCTATGTGCAAAAAGGTTCCTGCTGTAAACGGAAGGATCCAGGATGTTCTAGCTTCTGAAAATAATTAGTATTATTAGTAAATGTATATATGTGGAAATTAGAAAAGTTTTGGGCTAATTAGACTTGCCTTTTGAAACATTTTTAGGATTAGAAGTATCTGAAAATGATTCTCGTCTTGTCTCAACAATATTATTATTATTAAATTCAGGTTACTCCAAAACCAACAGAGAAAATATATAAGAGGAGATTTTGGTCCCCAGACTATGAACTTATTATTAACACACATCTACAGCAAAAATTCTCCAGCATCAGTGCTAACAACTTAGACCTAACAACAGCTTTGTTTTGGTTTGAAAAAAGGACAGTTTTAGAATGGTCCAAAACAATCGCACAGTTCATCAATCAACAAAATGACAACGGCTCGGCGATCACAAAGTTCAAAAATAAACTGGGCGATTGTTTTGAATCGTTTTAGAACTGTCCTTTTTTCGAACCAAAACAAAGCTTATGAGCTGGTCATGGACATTCTGTCATCCACAATCAGCTCTTTCATTCCATTCAAATTGAAGATTGTCAATCCCCAGAAGCTTTGGCTAACTGAAGAAATTTTTAAACATATTGAAAAAAAGAGAAATTTGTGTTTGAAAAGCAACTCTGAAAATGACAACTTGAACTATAGGAACCAAAATAACTTCCTCAAGGCCAAGATAAAACAGTTTAGAAGGAAATATTGGAAATAGGAACAATAATTGCTAGCTTCCTCTGATAAGCAGTTTAATTCCTACATAAACAGATCTCTTGGTTAAAGACTTACACATTCATCACTTAGAAATGTAACCACTAACTGCACTCTTAATGATGACAAGTTTTGCCAATTTGACAATTTGCTTGCCAAACAGTTCCAGAGTGTTTTTACTAGAGCCGTATGCCCAACTTGTATTCTGATACATTCTGTGCTAATTCACTCGAAATTGTAACTTATACACCTGAGAAATCACGGAATCGAGATTCTAGTCCAGGAGAGGATGAAATCTCTGCCATTCTCCTGAACAAGTGTGCTGCAGTTCTGTCACATCCCCTCTCAGCCATGAACAATCTTCTTAGGCTGGGCAAACTGGCAAGGAAATGGAAGCATGCAATTGTAGTGCCTATTTACAAAAAAGGCGATAAACACCTGCCTGAAAACTATAGGCCCATTAGCTTAACAAGCGCCCTTTGCAAATGTCTGGAGACAGTCCTGGTATCTGAGATGACGGAAATGGAATCGTCCCAGTTTTCCAACACGAGTTCCTTCCTGGAAGGTCCACTTCTATGAACCTGCTTACCAAGGTTCATGACTAGACAAGAGCAAATGTCTCTGGCCAGTCTGTTGACGTATTTTACCTGGATTCTGGAAAGGCTTTTGACAGTGGCGTAGCCAAACCAAACGTGGACGTCGGCGACATCCGAATTGCGAGGCCCTTTTTATGTAGGGTGGGGTGGCCATAGGATTTCTTGAGACAAAAAGCAGGTACGGGTAGCCGAAGGAAGAATTTTTTGAGTGTCACGCCCCTGTTTCCGAGCAGTTATTTTCAATGAAGTAGTAAGAAGGTTGGAATAGCCCTTTGCCTATCTACTCAATACATATATTTGCGGCCAACATATTAGAGTGAGAGAATAGGAGAAATCCATGAGATTTTCTTGCCCTTACTAGCGCTATCTCACTCAGGGTTAGAGTGAGAGATGTGGGAGATCCAATATATTTCTTGCCCTTACTAGCGCTATCTCATTCTGGAATCAATTGGATGACGCAAAGTTCATTCCATACCTCTTTCTACTTCATTGGTTATTTTACATAGTATACCATGCAGAGAACATCGAGTCTATAAGCTTCGCCTCCAAGCCTAGTCCAGCTTTGGTTCAGTATTGAAAATATCTGTAATGCGGTATAGAATGTAGTTAGGGTGCCAAATACGGTATAGTTTGTAGTTGGGTCCTCAGAAACGCGGCATTTGGCAAAAGGAGATGGAATGGAGTGAGACAGCATGACAACTCCGAAAGTATCCAGGGGTTCTAGAACCCACGATTCGCATACAATCGTTCATTTTCATTTAGTGTGTGAGTGTTGGAAGTGAAAACAAAGCAAGATGGGTGAGCAGAGTAGGTAAAGAGATTTAATTTAAAAAAATAATATCCTGAGGTAGAAATAGAAACTTTGGAATTTGAAAGTTGTCAAGAATATAAGGCTCCAATTAGATGCAAATGATAGGGAGTGATTTTGCAGAAGCTAAGAATTTTATAGGAAAGCTCAGTGCCAATACATACACAAACTGGATAGTTAGGAGAACGTTTCTTAGGGCCGGTATTTCAATGTTCCCTTAAGGTACAGAATAACGTTAAGTCATCCTTAATAAAAGTTTCACCGTATATCAAAGTTCCCTTAAATCAAGGTAGATCTTAAGCCACCTGAATGAATTGATTTCAAGTTCACCTTAACAATAAGGGTACCTTAGTTAAGTCTTGATTTTTAGGTAATATTGAAATACTTACCATCCCTGAATATACAAAAATTTAGCTTTTCGCAAAATTTCCATCTGTCCGAGTCCAACATAACAACCTTAACAAGAATGCACAGAAAAAGGGCAGTTCTAATTTGCGGAACAGGAAAAAGGGATGCAATGCACAAATTGACATCAAAATTTAAAAAATAATTGAGGCCACTATCCGACGTGACAGTTATTTGAAAAATAGTCTGAATGTCCAAATACAGGTTTGTTATAGGTTGAAATAGTTATCCCGAGTGCGACTCGTGCGAGCGTATAACGCGATTACCTAGTATAACCCATTTTGCGCAGTGCTGATTAGATTCTATACCGCATTACAGACATTTTTATATTGTAACAAAGCTGGACTGGGCTTGGGGGCGGAGCTTATAGACTCGATGCTCTCTGCATGGTCAAACTTTGACATGGTATACTATGTAAAATCGCCTCCGGGCATATCAACGGTATTAGTAGTAGTAGTAGTAGTAATAAGCATGCTATTTGATAACAATACTTATTTAGTCAAAAATATTAATTTTTTTCCGACAATCTACCGAAAAAAAATAGAAACCATATGATTTGAGAGTTCTAGGTTAATTTGCAGTAAAATTGATAAGTTTTAGCGAAATCTATGATATTTAGAAGTTTCGTATAGGATTAGGTTTATTTGTTCTCTACGTTTTATTTTGGAAAATCGGAGTGTCAATTTTTAGGTTCGGTAACCTATTTTTTGCGAGGCTCCTTAGGGCGCGAGGCCGTCGGCGGTCGCCGACGCCTAGCTACGCCACTGGCTTTTGACAAGGTACCATTTGGGTGGCTTCTTCATAAACTCCGTCTCTACGCTATAAACGGACCTCTACTCAATCTAATCCAAGCTTTTCTGTAGGATCGACAGTTCTGTGTCAGGATAGAGTCCATTAAGTTGAATTCCTGTGAAGTTTTTAGTGCTGTCTCCCAATGCTAGTCCTTGGCCCTCTACTCTTCCTTGTATCAAAGTCTGTCTTTTATATATTAGTGATCTGCCAAATGAATTGAGGCGTCAGATGTCGTCATTTGCGGATGATACCTATTGTTATAGGAATCCTGTAACCCAGAATGAAAGCCTCCAAGGGGATATAGATGCAATCAAACAGTGGACAACCACTTGGCAAATGCCAATGGATGACTCAAAGTGTTCAATTCTCCATCTGGGCAAAAACAACCAGGATGCGATACTTCATTATGTTGTGACCTGTGTTGCTAAACAAAATGATTTGGGAATTGTTGCCATTGAAGACATGAAGTAGGAAAATCATATCAATGGAAAAATTACGAAAGGAAAGTGTCTAATTTTACCATTTTTCTTTGATTTAAGTCTGCATCATAGGGTTTAATAGATTCAAGATTCAATTGCTTACCTATTGAAGTTTTAGCTCCACTAAAGACCAGTGCGCAGAGCGCACCAACAAGACCACCGCCAGCAGTGAGCAGTTGGAAGACGCCGGCGTGCCACCGACTGAATCCGGATTTGAGCAAAATGGCAAAGTCGCCCACTTCGTGAGGAATTTCGTGCACCAAAATGGCGAATGTCGTCAACAGTCCCGTTGCAGGCGATACAAGGAATGCTCCGCCTAGAGAAAGTCCGTGGGTGAAGTTGTCAATCGTATTGGCTACCAAGTTTAAGTAGCCTGATATCTGGGAAAAAAATGTCAAGAGAAATAAATTATTGACAACAAAAACAAAATGTTTTTTACACTTACATGTTTCATTTTATTGCTGTCTTTCACTTCTTTAATATTATTGTTTTCGATTTTTTCATCTTCCGTGTCCACTTCAATGATTGTGAACAGTTTTTCCACGGCCACAAAGGTTACGAGTCCAGTCAGAATTAGTAGTCCACTGCTTTGTGAGTTTCCTGAAAGCACACACACAATTATAACATCAACTATTGGCAAGGAGTTAAAAAAAAATTCATATGTTATGTAGGTATGTGGCCCTTATAAGTTTGCATAAATTGTTAAAAAGCAGAATTTTTTTTATTCTCCTCTGAGCTTTTTTCCTGTGTTACTACAAAGCAAAAGGTAATAGTGATATTCAGAGGAGAGTCAACAAATATCGAATCGAAGTTAATACACAGGGCAAGAAAATTGACTCCCAGGACATTGACATTGAAATATAATTATCTACGCATGGTTACAATCTAAATATTAGCACATCTTATCAATATATTTTGAGGATTTAAACACAAGTTACAAGTAGGAAGCATTTTTTTGTTAGGTTAGCAGTATGTAAATCCCATTTAGAATACTTTACTGATGGTCAATCAAAATTCCAAATAGGTACTTTATATTTGAAAATTCGTATATTGTATCTGTTCGATTGATGAAAGGGATGGTCGATGTAATTTGATTTTTAGTAAATGCTTTATATTTGGTTAGATATAGACCTATTTTTCAACAAAATAACTGTAAGTATGGCTAAATTAGTCTATTTGTATAAACAGTTTTAATTTGAAAATTTAAAATCATCATCCTTTCGCCAGATAGATTCACTACGAGCTTTCGATCATCAATTAAGACTCACTGTTGACACGATTACTAACATTGAAATGGACTTGGAAACTTGTCATATTGTTGCTACTCTACCTGTAAAGTTGACTGGTTTGGGAATACGTTCCGCGGAAGAACTAGCTGTTCCTGCCTTTTTGGCATCGGTTCATGCCGTGGTTGATAGCACCTTTCAATGTAGTTTCGTACTCAGCAAAGGCTTTGGAATTGTAAGTAACGTGAAACGTAAGATACAAAAGACTTGGGACCATCCTATGGTGTTGAAACGTTATGAAAGTTTGTTGTCACGATCTCAAGATAATCCTCTAGCACGTTTATTGGCTGGATGTTCTGCTGAGTCTGGGGCATTTTCATATGCTCTACCATCTACCAGCAGCTACTTTAGGAACATTGTTGAACAACGACACTTTTCCTATTGCTGTTCGCTTTCGTACAAAACTTTGCGAACCGCACTATTGTCATTGTGGAACCAGGGCGGATGAATGGGGTTACCACAGTTTATCCTGTGGAAAGATGACTGCGGGTCGTCTTGGTTGTCACACTTCGTTGAACAATGTTTTGCAAATTGTAGGAATACCATCGTTATTGGAACCACCTGGTTACTCAGGTATTGATGGAAAATGGCCGGATGGTATGAATTATGGTCCATGGACAAATGGTCGTCAGCTTATATGGGATGTTGGATGTTTCATGTGTAGATACTGTTAGCCAAAGTATCATTGTCTCATCGTCATCAGCCGGTGGTTCCACCGCTGACGTAGCAGATAATAGAGATGTGCAAAAATATGAGAATTTGCTTGCCTTTGGTGTCGAAACATTGGGATCTTGGGGTCCATCAGCAAAAAAATTTGTATCGGAAATTTCGCAGAAAATTTATGACAAATCGCAAGAGAAGCGATGATTTGAATTTTTAAAGCAAATATTTAGTTTGGTGATTCAGCAGGGTAATGCCGCTTGCATCCTGGATACTTTACCACTGCAGAGAGCCCTGGATGAAATTTTTTATGTTTTATGTGTGCACTAAACATTTTTTTTTAACTTAATTTTCTTTAATCTAGGTATTTTTTTTACTATTGTATCAATAAAACACTTCCCTATCTTGAAACAAAAAAAAAATAATTAAAATAACATTCAAAAATTATTATCTATAATAAATTGTATGAAAAGGTACTCAGACTAAATATCGATTACTTCTATTTATCAAAGTTACAATTATACACATTAAGCGGTTTCTGGAAGATAATATTTACATCTAATAAGCTCAAGTACTAATGAGCTACAGATTATTTATGCAAATAAGACACGAAATTATTATAAAATTACTGCTAGGTACTGTCAAAAATGTATGGTGATCTTTTGAAATGATTTTGTGATATTGAAATAATTTCAGAAACTTATGAAGCAATCTGAGCTTGAAATATTGAGTCATCGTTGTACCAGATTTTGATCATTTTATATTTTCATGGTCAAGCAGACATCAAATGCTGGCATAAAGAAATGTAGGTAAAGTCTGTTCATACGGATAGTGAAGTAACTAAATAAAAAAACTCTGCAAGCTGTGAAATTGAAATATGACCGAACTGGTCCATACTTTGTTTAGAATTGAAATGAAATTTAAACAATATTTTATTTGTTTAAATAGGCAATTTCAAATTATAATTAATGTTGAAGCAGGTAAAATGAACAAAATATGTTATTGAGTTCGTACAATAATTCAACTGTTTTTAAACTACGAAAAACAGATCATAAATTTTATTTTATTGTCTGCTTATGACTATCCTTGAAAAATCCGATTTAGTCATGTCATTATAAGTATGAAAAGACTTTATCCAAATTGGCAGAGGTTAAAAAATATATTATTCTGATATGCAAAATCGCAAATTGTTGCAATGTTGTTAACCTTACTTAAATATAATGGTATAAATATGCTTACCAAATTTGGAAATGTTATTGGCCCAGATCTCTGGTAAGGAATGTAGGAACACATCTCCCAAAAGTCCGCCAACAGCAAAACTCAGTAGAGTTTTCAGTTTATTGGCACTTTCTGGAAAAAAAAAAAACGATAGAGTGTCATCAGATCATACCATTTCTTGGGTCTTGCATTTATTTATTGTACTAATAAAGAGGAAGAAACTAAAACAAAATCGAGTAGGAATCTTAAAGCAGTTAAGTTAAAATTATGCTATAGAAAAATTGCAATTTAGTTGAAACCAGCAGTAAAGTTAAAATTATGCAGAAGAAAATTCGCAGTATAGTTGAAATTATTTCGTGGAAAAAATGTTGCTATTTTTAGCATACATTTTTAGCACACCACGACATTTTAGCTTGAAAATAAAACATATGGATCTCTACGTAGAAGTTGTGCTGATATTTTACATAATAGGTACAGGAAAATATGAGAGTAAACATGGAAGGCAATTTTTTTTTTCAAAAATATCCCCAAGAACAATCAATACTTTTTCAAAATTTTTATAAGCATTGTTCAGTAAACCAATCATCTTGGTCTCCAAAAAAAAATACTTAATTTGTATAAACAAAAATAGATTTCAGGGTTATATTGGCAAAACGAAAAATAAATAATTGCTTGCCAATAAAATTTCTTCCTACAATAATTTATAATTCTCAACGAAAATCTAACACAAATAATGTTGATGTATTCTCAGGCCTAACTAAACATTGAAATTTAGACTCAAAACGATTAAGTATCATAATGTAAATAATATGAGGGCAATGGTGTATTATGTTATTTGTGCAAACATATATGTTTGGCATTCAAAATATTATTTATCAAAATGGAAAATCACGCTCAATTCTGGTGCTTCAGTCATTACTAAAGCAAGTAGGTACCTACTCTTTGTTGTAAAATAAAACCCACGATTTCTAAAAAAAAACAAAATCTTGTTTAGTTCACCCTCTTTCAAAATCATCCAAATATCTTTAGCTTTCCAGGACACACCAAAATTGTATTTCCTATCTATTTACCCACACAATATTATAATTTTTCGCTAAACTGAGCGTGCAAAATTCCCAACACTTGATTTCCTTTGTCCTTTATCAGTCAGCCACCAGGTTTCAATTTCACAATTTGATTCGCCTTGTCTGGACAAACATTAGCAGAGTAGCTTATTGTTTCTAGATAGCAAAATAATAATTACTTCAATGAGAAATTAGTGTTCATCCACAAAATTATGTTTAAAATAAATTTGAGCTTTTTTTATACAAATTTTGATATTAATTTCTCTACAAGAGAGATACATTTTTCTGAAAAAAAAACAAACATAACTTCAAGAAAACACAAACAAAAATAAGAAGAATAAGTTGTAAACAAAAATATGCCAGCCTATACTTAGGTCAAACAAGCATAGGAAATTGGAACTGATAAGAGCGATAAGAAAACAAACATCTAGAAATATTTTATTTCTCCAAAAACAGATCCCGAGCAGAGTTCCAAGAACAGAGAACAAATGCTGCAAACGAAATTATTGGCTCACAGGAAATTTCTGAGATTAAAAAATTATGTACACATCTGAAAAACAGAAAAACTTTTCGAAAAAACTCTAGGAAATAAATAAATACATTTCCGTCATTATCGGTTTGTTTGTTTTTTCAATCCATACAACATGAACAAATTATCATTGCAAAATCCTTAAAGCAAAAATGTATTTGATTTATATTTAAAACAAAGCCAATTTAATTTCTGGCAATGATGTTTGAATAAATATCAGGAAAAATAGCAATTTATTTAATTGGACGACATCCTGGAAGGTATTTAACTTTATTATTGCACATTAATTGGTTTTTGAACCATATATTAAATGCAGGGTTTTTCGTAGAATTTCTATTGCCATATTAGTTGTAATGATGATACACAATGCGAAATACTGACTTTGAACTGGCCGTTGATAATAATTATTAATGATTCAATAAAGAAAGCAGAACTAAAATAGATAATAAACTATAAATAATTATGGTTTTGTTTTAAATGAAGCGTGTGAAAAATTAGATTTCAATGTGGTTTATAGCAAAGGATAGGTACTGCTTGAAATGTTTATAGTAAGTTACTGATTTTGAAAAAGTGTTCAATAATTAATAAAATATACAAAATGATGATAATGAAGCCACTTGTATTCAATTGTTATTTTACCACTTAAAAATCATAAGATTAGGTTAAACTGAAATTCATTGCCACATGAAATAATAAATTCGACTGTCAGTGACTAGAATCGAGGATCAACTGCATATAAATGAGGTTATTCATTTTATCATATGCTAAGGTTATTATAAACTGCTGTAACTAAATAGGAAGAGTATCCTTTACCATACAGGAATTATTATAATTTGCGGTTTTCTTTGTTTAGATACCTAGTAATTTGGTGAATTACTTATCCATTTATTAATTAGTATTTTATATAAAATAGAAAATATATTTGGATTCCTGAGAAATCAAAAGTTGCTAAAGAAAGAAGCATGATTAACATTGAAAATATGCCCCCGTAAATTTCAACCAAATTTCAATATTTTAAAGGTATCATCATTGCAAAAACAAAAATTTGAAATGTAAAGAGTATTGTATGTATGTGATAGCAGATATAGCTTGTCAAAGTACGTAGGTCATGCTATCCTACATACTTTGACAAGCTATATCTGCTATAACAGCCACAATCCTCTTTACATTTCAATTTTTTTTTGGCAATGATGATACCTTTCTTTAGACACTGCCAATACTGCTCGAATTGGCCAGGACAAAAGCCCTGATGCTTTTGCCTTTGATTTTTCTAAAGGCGATTATTATTTATTGTATAGGTCGCTAAATGAACAGGACTGGTCAACGATTTCAAATTGTACAGATGTTAATGAAAGTCTAGACCAGTTTTATAATATACTGAATAGCATTTTTGACTCGATTTTTGATCAGTGTCTAGAAGGAAAAAAACAAAAGCTAAATAATAAGTTTCCAGCCTGGCTCTCAAAGAGGCTGATACATAAATTAAATGAAAAGAATCATTACTTCCGAATGTAAAAAAAACAATCAAAGCTAAAGGACTTCCATAGGTAAAAGTTTGTTAAATTAAGATCAGAGACTAAAAAATTGATCAGAGAATGTCATAATAAATATCTAAAAAATGTTGAAAGCAATATATATCAAAATCCTCAATATTTCTGGACTTTTGTTAAACAAATAAGGAAAAACAATAATATCTGCCTTAATTTTACATATAATGGCTCCAAAAATGTGTACACCACTGCCAAAGTTAGGCAATGTTTAATAACACTGCCTAGTCAATGCCTATGGCGATTGCTGCGAACATTTCTATCAATGCTGAGAATGTCGGCATCAATGCCAACAATTCCAACATCAATGCCGTCAATTCTGACACAATGTCGTCAATTCCGACATCGATGCCGTCAATTCAGACATCAATGCCAACAATTCTGATATCAATGCAGTCAATTCTTACATCAATTCCGACAATTCCGAGATCAATTTAATGCCGTCAATTTCGCTATCACTACCTCAATTTCCCTTATTTATCTATTCAATGTCCACAATACCTAAATCATTATTCTCACTGCCATAATTATTGCCAAAAATTTGTACACCAATGCCGATCGTGAAACACCCCTCGGAAAAAATACTACACAAGCGAATTTTTAATCATGTCAGACATGTTATTCTGCCTCACCAACATGGGTTTCAAAAACGCAACTCAACAACAACTAATCTTAGTGTGTTTACGGAGTTTTTGGCTAAAAATATTGAGCCTAGCAAAGGCATTTGACAAGGTGTGCCATGATGTCCTTATAACAAAACTGAAGCAATTCTCATTTAAAGATAATCTTATTAGTTATTTGGTCTCATACATTGGCGATAGGCCTCAAACTGTCAAAGAAAAAGCTAACTCTCAGAACTATGTGGCCATGTTTGGGGTACCTCAGGGATCTGTTTTAGACCGCTGCTCTTTGTGTGGTTTGTTAATAACATATCTAGTTATGCGGGTAGTTCAGAGTTCTTACTATATGCAGATGATCTAAAGATTTCTTCAAAATTATTGAAAACGAAAATTATGCAATACTTCTACAGAGGGATGTAGATAAAATCCTATCATTCTATGAAGAAATTCTAGATTAACTTATATTATTCTCAAAAAATCTATCCTTTGTTCATCATATCCAGAAAATTCATGCTGATGCTATGAGGAATCTGGGATTTGTGATGAGAACTTTAAAAAATTCAAACATTTTCTGCTTGTTATATAACTCATAAGTTTGATCAAAGCTAGAATATGCCACAATCTGGAATCCTGTAACTTATGTCAAAGTTTTTGAGGTATCTCTTTCTGAAAAAACATAGTTTTTATCTAAGCTTTCCACACCTTATATCATATCAGACACAATTAGAGGAATTTGATGTAGTAGAATTTTGTGATATTAATTTTATCTATAAGATTCTAAATAACAATATAGATTGTCACCATAAATAAAATTCAATGTACCTGATGTAAGATTGAGGCAAAGAAACATTACTTTTAAGGTACCTAATTTGTCTACTCCTTTAAATAGATGTTGTTGACATTTTCCTTAGTACAAAGGCTCAACTTTATAGGGAATTTTATAATAATTTGTTGTAATAACTTATTATAGTGCTCATTGTTTGTAATGTGTATTTGTGTGCTACTATAGGTATACCAATTATATTTTCGAATAAGAAACTTGTATTTTAAAAAACATTTATTTTATTGATTAAAATACAGAGGTGACAAAAGAAAATATTCGGATCACATTGCTACAGGCTAAAGCCAGAAAACAAATGAACGCTCCTTATGGGACTGCATCGGCTTAAATAAACATTTAATGCCGACATAGCAATTTGATGTTTACTTTACAACAATGTATTTAAAAAGTCCTAGAGGAATGGGGTAAGCACATTAAAGCATATAAAAAATAGATAATTGATTATAAATCAGCGTGGCAATTGGTTAATATAACTTACCGAGAGGTATACTAAACTGTACTTTTTTTAAAGGATGTAAAATCTGTAATTTG